GCTCTAATTCAGATTAGAACTGTTTTGATACAGAAACCACACACACACACACGCACTCTCACATCTCATTTCAGTGCTCACCTTTCACAGAAGCTCATGGGTTTTCTCTTAAAACATCTATAATACAACCACTCCAAATTCTTGCCAGCATTGTCTGTTGCTGCTGCCATCGCTGTTGTTTTTCTCTGACTAATTTTGGACAGGTAACCTTTTGTCAATGTTAACTGAAAGGGCAATGAAAGCATTTTAATCTTCTGCTGCGTTGTTTTAGAATTTGCTGTTTTTACATCATACGCTCTCAAACTGACCTCAGACACAAATTTCCAAATAACTCAAGTCTCCAAGCTCTTTGGACCTTATCAATCTAAACTGTTTGTCTCCTGATGTCTCTACACCCGTGTGTGTTTGTGTGTATACCAGACCTCTGCCCAGGGTAATGCTGAGGAACCAATAATGCAAACAGAGAGCAATGTGCATGTGCATACATGGACAGTCCGCATGTATCTGGGTCACTGCCGGGCACTGTGTCGAGGGAGCAGAGTGTTTTTCTGAACACCTCTCACCTACAACACTGAAATGTGGAGTCACATTCAACCCCCCCCACCCTTAGCTTGGAAAGTATTTCATTTGGTAATGGCCCTGCAGGAACACAACAGCGTTCGCTTTGTCAGCTGATGTTGGCTATTGCAGAACCATCTCATTTGAGTCCTTGATTTAGTCTGGATGTGTATTTGAGTATGTTTGCATTTGTCGCCTTTGTTGACTGCTGTGCTGCAGTTAGTGTATTTAACTTCTTAACATGGAAGGTTGTAGGAAGCAGCTTTCATTTGTGAAAAATTTCCCTAGACTTGACCCTGAAATCACTTGCAAAACAGATGCAGACAAGGAATATGGAAAACACTGCATGGGTGCATGTGTGTGAAGGCATGTGTGTGAGCAGATACTAATTTGCACCATTTACCTGTTGAAAAATGGCCATGGCTTATTTATGAGTCACTTTTTAAATGTCTGAATTATTTTGTCTTTGTTTGTTTTGTTCCTTTAATGAACAACGAAATCAGTGTTGAAAATATTTAAATCAGCTTTGCCTTCAAATCATCTTCGGCCTGAGACATTTGTTCTTTAATAAATGTTTGTTTTGTAAGAACCTCTGTCAGTTAGTGTATGGCTTTGGATAGCGATGTAGTCAGCTGTTCAACATTTCCCGCCCCTAGGACAGCTCTGTTTGCAGAGCATCGATAGAAAAACATAACTGTTAGCCAGCACTTTCACTGCCATCACAGATGTTGCATTTGTTGTACAATCGATACAACATTCACTCATGACAGAAAGAAACTTTGCAATGGAGAACTTGTTAAAATCCAGAGTGGCAGTGTTTATAAGAATTTAAATATCTTTGTCAAAATAAAATACCCAAAGTTCCAGAACACTAAAATCTACTGCTGAAAAAATGTATAGATAAGCATCTACTTCAAGAAAAACTTCCACAAAAAGACAGAAAAACTCTTGAGAGTGGAGTGAAATCCATCTAGAGCCTGTCAGTTCCTCACAAGATGCAGAAATCAAGGTTACCCCTCAAGGGAGGGAGAGGAAATGGGAAATTATTTAGGTTTTTTTAGGCAGGTGCTACTTCTCTGTGGGAATACCTCCTTGAACTATTTTAAAGAGAGTGTGTTTTTTTCTCACAGTAGTTCCCCTGGCTTCTGGTCAACAAATCAGTATTTTTTGCTCGGTGTGGATTGAAAAAGTGTGAGGTATTTATTCTGTAAGAAAACAATTCTGATACTTAAGAGCCACAAAAGTCTAAAGACCAAGTATGTGAATTTAATACATTTAAAAACATTTTTAGACCCAGTACAATTCAATTCCTATTTCAGTGCTTGTGTTTCTCTGGGACCTAAACATTAAACACACTTCAGTCTTTTGTCACATTATACATATTTTTGACAAATGATGAAAATCTCTAATCTGAATAAATTACCAGACCTTGTCTCTATTTGTGTTTGTCATTGAACAGGTAACTCCTCACCCTGTGTGTCTGTGAGGACCCCTGGTCATGTCCATTTAGCTGTCCTGCGTGATGCCTGATCATGACAGCACCACCCTCCTAACCAGACAGACCAAGCGCCGACGTGTCGACATCGGGGTGAAAAGGGCTGTGGGTAGCACGATATTCACCCGTGCCAGGGAGAGCCTGCTTGACAGCATGAACCAATCACACGGCCCTGATCAAGACGCAGACTGCTCACTGGTCGCTCACAGCCACTTGGGTACCAACGGTGATGGAGAAAAGTCGAATGTTTTGAGGAAGCTGCTGAAAAGGGCCAATTCGTATGAAGACACAATAATGCCTTTCCCTGGGGCTACAATCATCTCCCAGCTACTGAAGAATAACATGGGAAAGAATGGAGGGAGTGACTCAGGCTTCCAGGTATACACAAACACACGTGTACAGCTAGTGGTGAAACGGCTATTAATCAATCCATTTAAGTTTTAATAAACACTTAATGGTTTAAATCACTATTTCAGTCAACCCATCAAACAAACAAGCCACTAAATTGTCTTCAGTCCTCACCCATTCCTACATTCGTTATTATTCATCAATTAATCCTTCCATTCTCTGTCACAGGGAAGTGGAGCTCTGTCCAGTGGAGGCTCAGAGATCCAGGCTGAGGATGCATGCAGCAACTCCTCCCGTGACAGTCCACTGGACTGCCTCTCTCCTGGGCCTCCTCTTCCCCCTCCACCTTCCTCCTCCTCTTTTGGGCGACCACCACCTCCTTCTAGCCTCAGTTCGCTTGCTCCCTCTCAGCCCCTCTCCCTCTCCTCCTTCGACTTGGACAGGCTGTCAGATGAGCACCTGCGTGCCAAGCGCGCCCGTGTGGAAAACATCATCCGCGGCATGAGTCACTCGCCACTGGTCCGGCTGAACACCAGCGACCACAACCAAGAAAGCAGCCGTGAGAACGAGAGCAGCAGCAACAACAGCAACAGCAGTAATGACCATCGAGGAGACAGCAACAGCCACAACCACAGCCGAAGTGACTGTCCTCCTTCCCTCCTGAGCTCTCCAGGTTCACGGGGCGGTGTGGTCGGTGTTGGTGAGGTTTACAGGGAGAATAAGAGAAAGCAGCGTCTACCACAACAGCAACACAGCTTCACCCAGCTGGTGTGTTCCAGGCAGGAGCAGAGACAGGAGGAGAGAAGGCAGCTCAAACTGCAGCTGGAAGACATGCAGGTTGGTGTCTGCAGCTAAACTGCACCACAGGCTTTAGCCACCCCTTCCTCTCATATGCATTTAGCTGTTTAAAATTACAGCTGATTAAAGTGGATGCTTTACCTGAAGTCACAATTCCTTAGCTTTCCAGAGTTTCAACACAATGCACTACAAGAATATGAGGTCGAAAATATCAACTTTTTAGTGGAGAATTTAGATGATTTCCTTCCACTTGAATCTGTATCTAGACAGGAGAAAGAGCTGACACAGAGCATTGAGTTTGGCATTTTGGTTACATAGATGCAAGAGCTAAACAGCACAGTGCAGTACAAAGAGTATGACAAAGAGAACTTGCTATATAAAATCATGTCTGTTTGCCAAATGGGTTATACATAATCTAAAGTAAGCTGTACTACTGTCATTTCTCTTTTGAATGTTCCCATGATACTTAAAGTCTAGTTATGGTAACAGTTGACCTTCAGGTTCAGAAGACTTGTTTTTATCCTTCTCTATCCTCTGTTATGCAGAAACAGCTGCGCCAACTCCAGGAGAAGTTCTACCAGATCTACGACTCAGAGACAGAGGAAGAAGAAAATGGAGAGAGTGGAGAGGCCGACCGAGGTGGAGACAGAGAGGAGGACGGCAACTTGTCAGAGGACAGCATCCGCTCTGATGGCCTAGAGGAGAGGCACAGAGACAGAGGGCAGCATACCCATGACAATCTATCTGAGCTGGACCCAGGCCTGTTCCTGGACCGGGCCCGAGCCCTCCTCCGAGAACAAGCCCTGATAGATGGAGAAATGGAGGAGGATGTGGATCGCAGGGTGGAGGGGGACAGGAACGGAGAAAGGGTGATGAAGAGGAGAGGAGGAGCAGCAGGAGGAGGAAGGCATTTAGCAGAGACACTGAAGCAGCAGCTGAACTGTGCTGTGTCGCAGGTTGTCGACATTGTCGTCAAGGGTTTCTCCTCACCCAAGCAAGCTGTCAGTCACCATCACTGCTGCCACAGTCTTCTTCCTGTGTGCCCCCTTTCGGCCCCCTCCCCTCCATTACCCCAGACTCACGCTTTGGTGGTGGCACTCTGGCCCTCAGTCTGAATGGCGAAGGTAGTCCCACCCCTAACTACCACCCTTCCAATCAGAGGCTGCACTGCTTTGGCGATGGAATCGTCCCGAGCCCACTAGATTCATTTGGTGGTTTGAGTGGCAGGCTGAGCGGTGTGCCAACACCCAACGACCAAACAGAGGCACTGCCACTGGTGGTGCGCAAGAGTGGAGGAAGTGGAGGGGAAAACACCAACCCCTCTCTTCCTCCTCCTCCTCCTCCTCCTCTTCCTCACCATCCATCGCTCCACCCCTCTTCTCTCACGGCTTCACTCGGGTTTAACCCTCCATCATTTCGCCATCCATTTCCTCTTCCCCTCATGGGCTACCCCTTTCAGAACCCCCTGGGGTCACATGGAGGTGGAGCTGGCTATGCTCCAGGGCCAAAGGATCATCATCGATCCTCGCCAGATTCCATGGACATGACCCGAGAAACTGTCAGTCTCAGAACCAAAATGGCATCCCTTGGAGGGAGCCATCTCAGTCACCACCATCACAGGCAGAGCTCGCCAACCCAGCATGGGCCAGAGGGTCTGTCCCTGTCTCTCATCAAGTCTGAGTGTGGGGACCTGCAAGACATGGCGGACATATCGCCCTACTCAGGCAGCACCGTATCCTTGTTACTGTAAGATTTTGTAGCTGTTTGTGTGAGCAAGTGTGTATGCTATGCTTATCCTCACTGCATTAAGTTTGTAGTCTTGGGTTTAGTTAGTCGAATGAAATAGTGCCCCAAGTCCAAATTACATATGTCCCACATTGCAGTGGCCAGAAGCAAATGGGGGTGGCTCACAGTTGAGAAGAACAAAATAAATTGGGGGTGATAGTGACCATGTGGGACCATGTTAGATGTGTTTAAATCTTTGTTCTTCCTAAGTTTAACTGGCAGTTTGATTGACATCTGTCAATGCACATCTTGCAACATTTCTTCTATGCATAAAATACAACTAGATTCATGAAGAAAATGAATGTTCACATAAACCTTTACTTTTCCTGTTCTGTGCAATTGGAGAAATGTTTAAACTTGTTTCTGTGCTCCACTAGAGTCACATTTTTAAAGGCAGCAGCAGCCAGTAGTCACAGAAAGTCTTTAATATCAATTAATCGGCATTAATTGGTTTCTGGTCTAAACATCAGTGAGCAGGGAAGATGAAACAGGGCACGCCGAGTCTTGCAAGAGGGGAAAGATTAAACAGGTCGCACGCTGCTCTCTCAGGCTCTTTTAAGTCTGTGCAGCAGGTTGTGGTGTTTAAAGGTGCTGAGAAAGGCTAGAGAGCTCCCTCTTCAACACAAACACACCCTGTTCCCAGTGTCTGAGATACTCTTGTGCCGTTAGGTTCTCTTTCATCACAAAGACTTTGTACATAAACGCTCAAAGCAAATCATATTTAACTGTGTCTATGTGCCTGTGTGTGTGGGTGTGGGGTAAAACCTTGTACATAGGAGCTCAAAGCTAATCATATTTCAAAGAGCACAGGGGAGGAACAGGTGAATGCTTGGCCCCATTGATGGAAGCTTTCTCAACATTTGTGTTTCAGGGTTTGTGTGTGTGTGTGTGTGTGTGTGTGTGTGTGTATGGGGTGGGGTGCATATAAGGAGAAGTGTAACATCTAAAATTTACATACTGGTTCTCTCCTTAGTTTTTCGCTAGTTGTCGCCCTCTTTGCTGTCAATCACTCCTATTCCCTTTCATTTATTGGCCTTTGCTCTCAGTTGCTTGGCAGCTGTGTGTGTTTTTCTTTCTTTCACAGCACATACACACACACACAAACACACACTTTCTTTCATGGCGTGGGCATGCGGACAGGTGTTTGCAGGTAGCCGTTTATCTTTCGTTCCTAACCTTTCATATGGAGAGGGTCTCTCCTGGCCACTACACATGCACACACACTTTAACTGCATACAAACAGGTGTGTGCACACACATGCACGTTTGAAGAACAAAGTGAAAAGAAAAATAAAGACTTTGAAGCTGACAAATAGGAACTCCTTACAGCTGTGATGAGGATTGGATCACAGTGTCATCTTCAAAGCCAATTTAGATGTTGATTTAATTTAAAAAAAGAAATATTTGACACGTCTCTTGATCCTGCTGAGCCGTTTCATTCCAAAATGCTTTTCCATTCATTTGGAAGAAAACAAATCTTTGAAATTGGACATTAGTATTTCAAAGATACTGACCTCCCTTCAACACTCCCTTTTTCATTTTGGAGGATAAAAATCTGTTACTTTCAGTAATTTTAATATTAACACCAACAATCCTTCCGCATGTGTTCATTCATAGGTAACTAATGCTTTTCCACTATGCATTAAGTAATAAATATTATGTCATGGTAATGCTATCACTGTCATTTGATTTTTCTTAACTGTTAAATGTCAAAAATGAACAAAACACAACAGGCGCCTATCAAAAAACTGTTAGATGCTGCCACATTCAGCTGGATATGTATAAAATGTGCATGTGTTCATGTGCACCTTTATAGTCCTCCAGAGCCTATTACTGAACTAGTCATAACATTTGCAGATTAGATTTTGAATGTAAGTTAGCTTGGAAATAAATATTGTCAAGATGTACAATTACTTCCTCTATGAAATGAACTGACATTACATTTAATTACACACAAATATGCTAAAATACATGACACCCATTCAGACAGACCAGACGCACAGCTAATACATTAACATTTAATTACTGGTATAAATCTATACAAAGTTCCAAAGTGTCACTCATGTCTTGGATGTAGCATAAACCTTGTTTCCTTAATCTGAAAGTGATAGACGTTTCTGCAATTTGTTTGACCTTCTCACTTGTTTCATTTCCTTCTCTGCCTCTAGTTTAAGAAGCACATTGTTACTTGATTTGAACTGTAGGGGTTCAATGGTGATGCACTGTTGTGAGATTTAAGGTGGCTTCAAGAAAGCCTGGCAGTTAAGTTAAGGTGTTCTGTGTTGATCATAGATGATCTGAAAGACACACACACTGCCACAAAAACAGTCACACACTGTCTCTCTCAGGTCTGCATATCTTTAATCCTTTGTGCAGAGCTGAGCAGATGTCTCCCATTCACTTATGAATTTATCCCCCCACCCCTCCCCCCTCTTTACACACAAACACACACACCTGGCAGCAAGTTCAAGTTACAGCTAATACAGTGAGCCCTGCACAAAACACACACACATGCTCAGACACATGGACCAATAGTTAAGGAGAAGGATGACGAAGAGAACATCACCAGTTGCACTGTTTATTCACCAAATCACTTTAGCTACTATTACACACACACACACACCATTTACCTTTTATTCATTATCATATTGCTTCACACTGTTTACTCTGACTCATGTTCATATGCTTTAGTGTGTGTGTCAGTCCACAAAAAACAAGCCAGGCTTCCAAACCTGGACATATTATCTGACTGGCACACACAGGGATAGTGACAGGTTGGTATGAATGTTAACTAGGTGATGGTGTTGTTGTCCAGTGACCTGACGTATCTGGCACTAAATGAATGATGGATGACAATATGACTTACATCAGTTATTGAGGCAAAGTGAACAGTGCTGTGGTATCATGATCATTTGTAACATATAGTTAGGTTACTTTTTGTGTTGTAGCAGTTGTGAGTACAAATGTTTTTAGTACAGTTAAAAAAACATTTTCAAAACTAGTGGCACAATGGGTAATTGATAATTACAATCCATTAAATGACCTTAATTCACTAAAGGTCACTGGCAAACCATATTCTAGTCCCACCAGCTCACAACCAAGATTCTCCTTGATTCTAACTAGAAAATAATATTATTTGAACATGAAATAAAACAAGTATCGTGAAGACAGTTATCTTCTACTTCCTGTCCTAAAGCTACTTTTCTTAACACTATTCATTTTCTTTTTATCTCCCTCTTTCCCAGTTGCCGATGCTACTCTCCCTCTTTCCAGCCATACAGGGCCCCTGGGGTTTCTCTTGGTGTGTGTGTGTGTGTGTGTGTGTGTGCCTGTGTGCTAATTGACCTTGCAGGGGGTTCCATTGATTGCCTCATCTTCTCTGATAGATTATCAGGCTGTTAATGTGGTGGAGAAATAGCAGCATGATGGGGCACAGCTGTCGCCACACGCACAGACGCACACATACACTCAGTACCCCAGCAACCAGGGCCTCCACAATTACAGTGCGGCAAATAAGTATTTGATACACCGCAGATTTTTCAAGTTTTCCCACTTACAGAGAACGGACAGTTCTGTAATTTTCA